CCTTAATCACGTAAGAATAAAAGCAGAGGAGATACTCAATGATAGATCATCTCATACAAGACTATAAATATAATGTGATATCGATGAATTTAATTCTGCGATAAAATGATATATAAAATGCAAAAAATATCCAAAAAGAAATGATTATACTACTGTACAAGTGTTCCGTTGCAAAATTGCAAAAATAAATTCAACAATTTAACATTCTCCTTGTGTACTATGTCTACGCAAAATTAGCTTAAATTATCTGCAAAAATACATTATTTAAGGATTATTTTGGTATTCAGATTAAAGGTCTCAACATATAGGTGTTTGCTTTCATTTTAAACCTGATAGACAGAAGCAATTATTTAAAAAAAAATAATTGAAATTGAGATGTATAGGTAGTATCAATTCTTGTTAGTCCCCTACCGGTGAAACCGGAGGGAACTATAGGTTTCCTCTGAGTCTGTCCGTCCGTCCGTCTAGCTGTCCCTCTGTCTGTTTGTCAGTCTGTCCCACTTGGTTTTCCGCACTTTTTTTCTAAACCCTTGCAGATATTGAGCTGAATTTTTGGTATGTGACTTTACGTTGATGAGTTATAGATCAAGTTTGCATTTCGTTCTGCTTCGTTGATTTTTGACGGAATTATGGCATATTCAATTTATAACGGGAACCAGATTACACTTGCCTGAAGGAGACTAGTATTGCTAATGCAATACTCTCAGAATGCTTGTTATTTAATTTTTGTAAAAAAATGGAATTTTATCAAACCAACGGATTCTGACAGAATAAAAAATTCGTGGAACCAACCTCTTGAGATTACCTGTAAAGGAAGACATTGGTGATGACTTCACAGCTTAAAACTTCATGTAAATATTGTCGATTCTACAAATATGTGTAATTCAGACATGTTGATAAAGGGAAATTTTACAGCGTAATTCGATATCACAACTTTTAAAAGCATTCCACAGGGTATTTATCTCATCTCTAGCCATATCTTTCAAGGTCTTGCACTTGTATAAGGCATTTATGCTATCAAGCCTGTACTGGTTTCAATTCATCATACCCGCACTTTCTAAAGAAAATTCGGGTATATTGTTGTTACAATGGTCTGTCCGTCCGTCCGTCTGTCTGTCACACTTTCTTTTTCTTCCTCAAACTCCTTTTTTAAAGCAGTAACCAATTAATCTTTTGGAATATGATTGTTGGTGTCCTTTAGATGTACATTAGAGTTTTGGAATTTTCAGTTTTGCCTTATGGGCAAAATGGGGGCCAAAAATAACTTTTTTTCTGCAAAAACTTAGTTCCTAGAACTCCTCTTACATTTCACACAGTAGCCTAATCATCTTTTTGAAGATGATTGGTGATGCCCTGTAGATGTGAAATAAGGTTTTGGAATTTTTATTTTTACCCTCGGGTTCAAATGGGGGCCGAAAATGATGTTTTTCTAATAAGATCATTTTACGCAGTAGCCTAATCACCTTTTGGGAGATGATTGGTGGTGCCCTGTAGATATGCAATAAGGTTTTGGAAATTTCATTTTCACTCTGGGATGTCAAATGGGGGTCGAAATTTTTTTAAATACAAAAAAGCCCCAGGTTCCCACAACTCCTCTTACATTTTCCGCAGTAGACTAATCATCCTTTGGAAGATGATTAGAAATGTCCTGTAAATGTGCCATAAGGTTTTGGAATTTTCATTTTGACCCCAAGGATCAAATATGGGTCGAAAAATGACGTTTTTTTTTAAATACAAAAGGCCCCTGGTTCCAGATGTCCTCTTAAATTTTACTCAGTAGACCAATCATCTTTTGGAAGATGATTGGTGGTGTCCTGTAGATGTGCTATAAGGTTTCCCTATACACTCCCATGTAAAACTTTGATCGCCTTTTGTGGCACCCACCCTATTGCTTGGGATTATGACAAAATGAATCTACACTATGTAAGGAAGCTTTTATATATTAGTTTAAACTTTTCTGATTCAGTAGTTCTTGAGAGAAAATTTTTGATTTTCAGTAATTCTTATTTCTTCTTAAAGAGGGCTTGACCCTTCCTTTGAACCGCAGGATTCGCTATTAAAAAACTCCAATCTCCTTTACCCAAGGATACTTCGAAGCACTTTTGTTTGAATTAGTCCAGCAGTTCTTCAGAAGGAGATGATATTGTAAAAAACTTTACGACAAAGACAACAACAATGACAGAGATTTCGATCAGAAAAACTTACTTGAGCCTTCAGCTCAAGTGAAATAAATCTAATGGAGTGTGGTGGGTGGGTGGGATGGGGTGGGGAGGGATAATCCTGGAGCGCTTGCCCAATAAAATAATCAATACGTAGACCTTCCTTAATTTTTGGATGCATAGGATAAGTATATATGTTTGAAAGCTTTTTCCAAGTTCCACGAAATTTGGTACTGACTAAATCGACATGAGGGAAAAGTCAAACAACATACAAAATATAATACGTTTTACAAGAAAAATTAACTCTGTTTTTATCGATTTCATAACACCTCTAGTGTTTTTCTTGTTATTTTAATTAAGACAAGCAAATTGAAAGAATTGTGGTCCCCCGCTCTCGGTGTCTCAGTGGATGGGATGCCATTATTATGGCATATTGTAACTGTCTTGTATGTGTGTCCTGTCTTGTATGTGCATTAAACAAAAAAAAAAATCAATTACAGTTATTGAACTAATAACAGTTATGGTAAATATTATTGCTTCTGAAAATTTACATCAAACTTCAAGATCAAGGTCATCAGGTCAAAGATCATAATCAGAAAGGTCAGAGTTACGGGTCAAATATTACAGCACATTCAGAAACACTTTAACACAGGTAATGCACTTGTTAATCATGAACACCCTATCATATGTCATTCAAAAGTAATGACCAAAGTTAAGAGTTTTGACAATTAGGTCAAACATGAAGGTCAAGGTCAAGGGGTCACAAAACATAGCATGTTCGAAGGACCTAGTCACAGGTAATGGTGGGAAAAGAAGAGTCAGAATTGTGTCATCTGGATAGGTTAGGATAAACACAGGTTAATTAAGAAAGACAAAGTTTTTTGCATTTTTATTTTTTCCTGTTGAAACATGTTACTGAATACAATGACTCATTTTTCGCTTAGTCCTGTGATTATCAAATATTACCATCGTAATATTTTTCCTTTCCTCGTTAGTAAAGAAAATCTGGCCCAATAGGGAAAATACATAATTTATTCTTTTTCAAATACAAAAAAAAGTCCAGAGTAAAAACTCCTAAATAATTATCAGTTTGCGTGACTTCTTCAAAACATCATATATCATACACATGTTACACGTTAACATTCATAAACATTCACATTAACTGAAAAAAAATATTCAATTTTAACCAAAGCTATCTACTACATTGTATTTACAAGGATTACTTTGGATAGGTAAGAGATGAATTCATGTTCCTTATCAGTGTTTTATGCCACTTCTATTCCTGTAATATTGTTTCCGAGGTAACCGTAAGCCCTATCAGGGTAATGTTTTGGAGTAGCTCTATAAAATTTTATGGCCTTTATGATTTAACTTGCATGGATAGTGCATCTAAGGATGGACACTTCCAAATTTGCATAGAATGTTGGAACTGACTGAAATTTTCTTGATTGGTAAAGTTTTTTTTTAGCAAGTCCATTTCCAAGTAACTATAAGTCGTACTTAAACCAAACTTGCATAGATATTGATCATGGGATGGACACTAATTAAAATAATATAATGTGAGGTTTGTCTTACTTATAGATAGCATTCGTCGAGGTGAGCTTCGTAATCTTTGATTACCTGTGTTATCTTGACATGTTGCATTACTTATTGAACGACCCTTTACGTCACAAACACATAAACTACTTTTTCCAAAAAAAAAAAAAAAAAAAATCTATTGTTCTAGACGTAAAACAGTGAATATAACATGCATAATGTCTTGCAATTTTATCTATTCATACTTTTAGCGTCAATACCTTACATTACAATGTTTCAAATTGTTTGACTTACATACATGTATAAAGAAGATGGGTGAACAAGGTGAGCGAAATGCTATAGTGTAACAAACATAAAGGTTAAAAATCAAATCTCAGATTCATCAAAATTCTCCTTAATATTTCATCTAACATTGAAGTATACTTTATCCCTAAAATTTGCAAACATCACAAAGATTGAAATTATTTGCCTATGAAATAGCACACACACTCTAAAGAGGGCAAAAAAAAAAAAATCATTTTCTCATACTTTAACGCAATTTTTCTGTACGAGTGAGTCTTCGCTTCATTTTTTTGAAAGTTAATCATAAAAGTTTACGTAAAGATATTCAATTTTTAGTTAACAAAAACCTGGATTGCTAGGGTTCGAATCCCACGACCACATTATAACAAAAAGTATACTTTTTGCCAAGAAATATTTTTCTCTGAAAGGTTTTGTTTATCATAATTTCATAAATCTCGATAATGAGAACTTTACTCTAAATACTTAATTCACAAATTGAATGTTTCTATATATCTGAGGCATTCTGTAAGCCTTGTTCTTCCATTCAAGGGGATTGATTGAGTTAATTACAGTTTTCAACTTCAAGAAAAAAACCTACAATAATATGTCATGGAACTACTTTTTTGTTGAATTATATAATATAAATATAGAATCTTCCTTGATTGGAAATAATTGTGTAACCATTAACGAGTTGTCTTTTTTCCCTTGAGCATTGACAATCTTTTTTATCACATGTTTTCAACATTGCTATTTTATGTTTTGCACTGTTTTATATATATGAATCAACAACAATTAACTTGATCAAATTCATGTAAAACCATTGTGTTGTCACAACAGTGGGTATGAAAAGATATCCATTGAGGCACATCAACTGTATTTCGGAGTAAAGATATAATAAAATAATTTAACACTGTGATATTGTGACAATACTTAAATCATTTTCATATTTCTTTACAGAACGTCACCAATAAAATGAAATTTGTCCTATTTGTACTATTTCTGCTCCCGAGTATAATCGAAGCTATGAAAGATGATGTTAAACCAAAACCAACTAATCATTGTGTGACGGAAATGAATTCCTTTCGTACACTTCTGAATCTTGCCTCACAACTTGTTGAACTTCAGCAAGCTTATTGTAACAAAAGAAAAAGTGTGACAACAGGAGGAATTCAAAGGAAGGGAAATGAAACAGTGTTGGCTACAGAAGAGGATATAAGAGAATTAAAAAAAGAATTGAAATCAATAATGGTTTATACATTTTATCCAAAAGACTGGATAAAATGTATAAACCATATCTACAAATGTATTTGAGGGAATAATTGAACATTCAATTTGTAAACAAACTTGAAATTAATTTTCTTGAAAGAAAAAAATTACTTCGGTGACTTCTACAATTCTGTAGTAAATTATTTATTGATTTCAATTCTTTTTTTAATTCTCTTATATCCCCTGAAAGGTAACAGAGAAAGTAAGGTGTACACAATTTACCCAAAGAAAGGAACTAGATTCCAGGTTTACTGTGATCAAGAGACAGAAAGGGGTGGATGGACGGTAATTAACATGTCTATTTGAATTTTAAACAGCAATACATGTAGATACTTATGATAAAATTACTACTTCCAATTACTTACCATGTAAAAGGTAAGGATAACGAACAGTGATCGATCTAAAAAAATCTAATAACAATTCCAGAGAATTGACATCAATTTAAAATTAGTGATAATTTTTTTTTTACTTTTTCCTTCCTCATTTTAATCCAGGGCTATTGGTCCTTGACAAATTCGAAACATTTTGGTGTAAGCTTCTGTAATTTTTTTTGTTGGTCTTTTAATCGTTTGAGTATCAATTACTTTGTATCCCGAACTGTACATATAAAATTGATCATTGCAATTGGTGGTTTGCAAAGAAGCACATACTGTCATAATATAACTGCAAGGAGCCCAATATCTAATTTAGAAGAACCTTCTTGAAATAAATGAAGAGAGTAGAAGAAATAAAAAAAAAAAGTTGATTGTATTTTTTGGATGCAAATCAGAGTCGCTGTCGAAAAATTCAAGCGGAAAAACTAAATTAATTTTCAAAATAACAACTAAGATTACACAAATTACACACTATTGATGAAGGCTTTTAAGCCTCTCGAAAAAAGTACTTATTTCTTTTATTTATTTAAATTTTAAATTTAAAATAGAATATATAGAGTTTGTCATGCTGAGAAAGCAATTCTTCTATTTAATATGAGTGTTGATTTATGTATATGATTGACGTGAATACAGAAATTAAAAAAAAAAAAAAAAAGGAAAAATACTTTTTTCAAGGTTATACAAAGGAGACAGGACGGATCTGAAAATTTCTTTAGGACCTGGAAAGACTACAAAATTGGATTCGGAAATCTGTCAAATGAGTTTTGGCTAGGTATAATAAATAAAAAAGTTTCTTTATAAATTCACCATTCTTTAAATTAAGATTTTTTTCCGCTTCATTTTTTCTCAAATTTCTCTTCACCCTGATACCTTATTTGTGCTCATACAATTAAAATAAATTTCTAATTGTTAGAATTTTCACGCAGTGGATAAAGAGGTAATAATATTCAAGCAAATATAAATTTATCTCTTTACAAAGCTGTATTCACTTTACATTTAGATTTCCTTGAACACAACTGCTCTCACTGTAATTGCATATAATGTGGAGACTTCACTGTATTCATTTTTATGTCTTCATTTTGTATTTAAAAACTTGTTTCACACTTTATACATGCTCTTTTGGAGTAGATATAGGAAACATTTTAATATATAATTTTTATTATATAATACCGAATGTTTTATACACATAGATATTACAGTGAACCTTGCCCGCATAATTTCTGCGTAGTCAATATTTTTTGGAATATCACCCGTCGTCAAGATGTGGTGAATGTTGCTACGCTGAAGGGCGTGGCTTCATTATTAGCGGGTATTAGTGTTTTTTTTTAACAAATGTTTCTCGACGAATCAGATTCAGCTATTTAATTTACATGAAAGCATAATATTACAGTAAACTGTGTGATGGTGAAATTCAATGATTTCTTCATATCTGTAATTCAGGATGATTTATATGAATACCTATAAAGGAATAAAACCAAGCAGAAATATTGCATAAATAATCGTTCTGCTTTCTCATGCTACATATCTGTCAAAGGGATACTTAAGACGAAGACGCCATTATTGTTGAATATAACGAATGAAAATGATTTGGCAGAAAAGGAGTATAAACATGTAAATTAAACGGGTTTTAAGAAGTCTATCTATGAAAATTGTATGCGATTCATATGAAATTTAAGTAAATTAACCTGGTATGCTTATTCATTTTCATCGTTCTTCTTCTATACTGATGACGTGCATCGTGCTGCACAATTGCCTTCTCTATGTTGCCTTCTCTATGTGGCCTTCTCTATGTGGCCTTCAACTCGACATTTAGATATATCGACGACGTATTGTCAATTAACAATGGTTATTGCAGCCCGGAGGACCGGGCTGCTCTATACATATAAGTTTAAGTGTTGGTATATGGGGATTGAGGTGGGAGAAGTTATTCAGAATTAAAGGTTTTCTAAACATTAAAAAGATTGTTAATCAGAATGTTCTTTCCCTTTATAAATTACGAGATACACAATATATTTACTTCCATAAAGTGAATTTGTAAAAATATAGATGTTTTTCATATTTAATATATAAAGTTGCTTATCATTTACTATCGAAAAAAGACAGGTCCCTTTTTTTAGAACATCGAATTTTACTTATCGCATAAAAACGTAAAAATGTACTTTACACAGTTCGTGTTTTATATTCTTAAAGTGAAAGACATTTTTGAAAATAGGTGAATCATGTGTCTGGTTTCAAATTATATTTTATGCAGCCAACATTTACTTGAGGAATTGATAAAGTTTAAAAGGGTGTCGTTTTTGTTCGATTTTCATCCGACTTTAAGTTTTCAAAATATCGTCTCCATCATTTAGACGCATGCCTTTTTCACACATATCGAAGTGGTTTGATGATCAAGACTCATTTTTATTGTTTATTTATTTCCCGGGCGACAATTGATGGTTACATCAATGTTTTCTTGTTTCCATTCTGATGTCGACACGATATATCCCGGTGAGCTTGAGACACCACAGAGTCTGACACATCTGTTTCATATTTAGATATTTTATTAGAAAAAGACGTTAATAGTAATCTAACAACAGAGCTTAATGATAAAAGTGATGACTTTAACAACGTCGCACTTCCTCTGAACAAACTTTATTGCCCTTTACCATAGGATGCTTCGTAGTAAGTATAGTTGAATCTGGCCCAGTAGTTCTGGAGAAGAAGTCAAAGCGTGAAAAGTTTATAGACAACACAGACACACGAGACACGACAGAAAGTCAGACGCCGGAAACTTTTCGATCAGAAAAGTTCACTTGAAGCTTTGGCTCAGTTGATCTAAAGACGTTCAAGTAGGAAAGACGTGGTTTTTTTTTTAATTAGAAACTACTCAAAAACCTTCATGATTATAATGCTCTAAAAATCTGTCCTTTACAGCCATCCTTATGAAAGATTTCTGAAGGTCCCGATGTCATCTGTTTCATAGATAATAATCATTTTAAAATACTAGAGCTGTTAAGTCATTATTTTTTGTACTTTCACCTGATTTATATAATTAATTTATACAGATAAAATGTAAGCAATAAAATGTATTTCCTTATTTGCACAGTGGGAATAATTGCAATCATTGTAGGAACAAAGGAAATTCTATTCTTTGTATATACATTTTCTATCAGGGGGATATATAATTGAATTTCTTAAAAAAAACTGATATAAGGATCAAATCTTCTAGAATGTCTGCCTTACAAAATGGTTCATTTTTCCTTAGAAATGGTGTTTAAAAAGTAGGCCAAAATTTCACAATCATTTTCTGCATTTGATGATATACAATCAGTTCATTGTTTGGAAAATTCTTTCAAACAACTCATATAATATATTTTGTTAATAGTTCCATATTTTTTAAAAAAGTTACTTTGAATTACTTAGAACGAGAGAATATAAACTCCTTTTCAATAATAAGAAAAAAAATATTACAGGGAATGAGAAAATCCACACAATTACAGAATCAGGCAATTACAAGCTGCGCATCGATATGGGGGACTTTTCCCCAAATTCTCGTCATGCAATATACAGAACATTTAAGGTTGGAAATGAAAGATCTGGATATGTTTTGAAAGTCTCAGGTTTCAGTGGAAACGGTGGTAAGTTATTTGCGTGATCATTCTCAGTTTATTTTTTATCAGAAAACTTAATACTTTTTTTTTTTTTATAAATATAAACTTTGTTATTTAGGCGACTCATTGTCTAGCCATAATGGTGCAAAATTTGTCACTAAAGATCGTAATGATGGACGTGGTTGTGCAAAGAAATTAAAGGGCGGATGGTGGTACATAAACTGTCATACCTCTAATTTGAATGGTCAATACCTGAAAGGAGAGCATAAATCCTATGCTAACGGTGTTAACTGGTATTACTGGAAAGGACATCATTATTCCCTGAGGTTTACTGAAATAAAAATCAGAAAAGCAAACTTTTGTAAATCAAATTAAGAAATGAGCACATAATGTGCAGAAAAAAGTATTCAAAATAAAAACAAAACATGCCAAAGAAAATTTAATTTTCGTTTGTCTTTTTTTTTTTATCTCAATTTTCTATATTATTTGTTGTAAATACAAATTTACATATTTTATGTCTATATTATGTATTGTCCTCAGTTATATCTAATCATAGACTTAAAAAAAAAAAAAAACAAATTTTATGAAACATAGATCAAGCTTGATTTCATACTCTTAAAAAAGAGATTAACAGTATAACTAATACAGCTCTACTTTGAAATAATAAAATCAAACAGTAAGAAAAAAAACCATGAAAGCTATTGTTAATAAAGGAATTTGATATGACACTTGTTTGAAACAATCAATATTGTCCACTGTTCTACTTTAAGCATACTGAAGGCCTAATTTATTGGTATTGCCCAACTCTTTATGTCATTTTATGATTGTAAAATTTGTGAATTGTGAATTAGACAAAAAAAAAAAAAAAAAAAAAAAGAATAGCTTTCAGTTTTTCTGACACAAAATCGTGATAAACATGAACTTCATCATGAAAATGAAGCGTGCAAGTGCTCATGCTCAAAATGAAATGAAATACTCAAAATTGAGAACAGGGAAAACAAATCCTCGAAACTACAGAGGTTGATTGCTAGAATGTTGTCTTAAGTATGTATTAGTGTTACTTTGGAAATATTTTTGAAAATGAAACAGATAATTATATGATCAATAATTCTTAACTCTCTGATTGGCTGTGTTCTACAATTGAAAAAAAAAAAAAAGAACACCCTTTCTTCTATGTTGAACTAAAAATAAAGTTAGAACTTTCAAAATAAAAAAAATAGTTTTGAAGAGGCATTTCTCCTGCATCCGCCTTCCGTCCAGATGAACATAAAAGCACAGAGAATCAGGGATGGGATGGGATCCCCTCTTCTCCCCCACATTTTTTCTGAACTTTATTTTCAAACTATCAATTTAGCACGAAAATGTTCATTGAAAGTTTCGTTGCCCCCTACCTTCTGATACAGAATTGTCTAATCCCTCCGTCTTAAATTGATCCTACCCCCTATACCCCCAATAAGTAAATTGAATAGCCTATGAATAAAACCTAACGTACTTAGTTCTTTATACATTCGCACATGTTTATTTTAACTCTGCTTTTCTCACTGCGTTTAGCTAGGCATTCAGCAATGTAAGATGACATGGCTTGCTTAACGAATTTATTGTTCTCCCAAAGTACAAGTAGGTCAATTATCGTGTTGACCTAAAAAACAGCAATGATTGAAAAATATTTTCATTATCGTTGGTAATTGAATAAAAGACAAACTTGTTATTTTTTAGTCATGTTTGCTAGATAAAAATAAAGGTTTTAAAACTGTGAATGAATTTTGTTTTAAATTATTAATCTTGGAGTCAGGTTCCTTGCAGGAAGTATCCTCTATCGATCAATCACTGAAATTCGTTTTAAATGTAATGGTAAAGAAAGGAATTATTGGTTATATTATTTACATGAATAAGAAGAGAATTTTAGACTACCAACTTCCCAAACTTTACTAAATACATATATTAAGAGTTTTTCAAACATGCTATCGAAGCTTCGTTTAAAATAGCTATTATTGTATAATTTTTATTTCATTTGTTTTTACCAGTCTTTGGAGTTTTTCAACATCGGGTCATAAAATATTTCTTTACAATAGACATAGAATGTCAAATGAAATCATTGATATACTGATTGAAAAGATGATTTGCATTCTTGTCACTTTTTCTAAAAGTAATTTCAGTAGCTTGATAGGACAACTTTCATTGTCTACAGCATACACTCTGTCATTTATGTTGTTTTGTGATTTTTATTTTATAGAGTTTTGTGGAGGGGAATTGCTGATTCCCCATTTCATCAGAAGTGAACTTGAAGCTGTGAATCCTGAGCTGGTGATACCATTGGGAACAAAGTATATTATCAAGAAGTACCATACAATATGAGACAGAAATGCGAGCTGGAAATATTCGTACATTTTCTCGAGGTTATGTCTTTGTTGATCTGCTTGTATGAAGAGGGCCTTGATAAGCACAGTGTTTGTTGCTTAAAGAGACTCTCCAACATTCCGTTGTAAATGCGAAATTACTTGTCGATGACTATGTTGGTGTTACGTCTGATGTCCTCAAATTGATAGCAGCACGGGTGCTTATCAAGGAATTCTTGTCATAGAGTCGCTCATCATCAGGATGTTTATATTTTGGTTTAGCTTCACAATAAAATATGGATAAACGAGACAGTGACTAAGACAGCTAGACAGTGTGCATGTCCGGGGCACCCAGTAATCCTCCAGATTCTACTCTAGAAAACTATTAATTAGAGTGTTTGGACAATATTCAAGGATTTCAAAATTGTGGGATGTATAATTTATACTGTATATTTATAAATTTTTATCTTTCAATTCTACAATTTTCAGGGTAAATGCATTATTGCTTATTGATATTTTTTTCAGTTCTGCATGTTTCTTTTTAATGATTTATTAGTTGCTACTTTTTTGTTCTAACTTTTTATTTGTTTTGTTTGGGTGATTCGATTTTGTGGCTACCTTGAAATATTTTCATCCTCCAAGCTGTATTTCCTTTGGTATAATTTTTGCTTGCCTTGAATCAAACAACTCGGTCATTCTTCATCAGTTACAGTTTTGTATCTCTAGAAATTTTTTTCTGATAAATTTATTTTCAGTATTGATATTATGATTTTTTTTCATTGTCATTTTTACTTTGTGAGTAAAAATCGATTATATAATTCAGGATTTCTTTATGTTGTAACAATATTTTCAGAGAACTAACTAGCAGCTGATAACTTGTATACCTCGACGGTTTGCTAAACAATTTATATTAATTTCTACACTTAATTATCTTTCCAACGACACTATCAGCACCAGTCCAAACCAAAGATAGATGCTTTTTAAAGAAGGTCCCTTAGATAAAATGTTTAATTGAGCCCCGAAAAAAAGTAGATGTTGGGTGAAAGTTACCGAAGTACCTAATTTCAAATGTTTAAAGGAAAGGTATGTAAGCATAATTTCAATTATTTTTTTGATTTTCAATTTTTAATGGCGGGGCTTTAATGATTACATGGTAAAAAAGCAATAATTCTTTGACAATCTTCTCCTTTTCTCCTGGGTATTAAGCCGATGAACTAAGAGTATAGTTATGATATTTAAGGGTGCCTCTTCCAAAATTGTGAATTTTATGGCCCCTGGGTGAGGGTTCTGGTGTTAGGGCAGGGCTCTAATGATTACATAGTGAAAATGCATAAATTTTTTGATAATCCTCTGCTCTCTTCGGGGTATTAAGTAAGCTTACTAAATGTAAAGTTATGATGAGCAAGTGTGTCTCTTTCGAAATTGTGAATTTCATGGCCTCTGGTTTAAAACATGAACCCAATTTAATTGTGGCAAAGCTGTTGCATGATACTCAGGTGACCTATAAGGCCCATGGGCCTCTTGAATATTCAAGTGTAACGTGCAAAAGAAGTAAACAGGATTTTACAGTTGTTTAACTTCAAAAAATGACACATAATGCTTTTCTTAAGAAATGCTTAGCTTTAAATGATAAAATAAAACTTTGTCATGAGGAAGAGAATTTCCAGCCCTTTCTCTGAAACCAACGTACCAGTCGTATCCACTACAAAATTCGCAAAATGGTGATTTTAATTTTGACTGTTGATATCCTTGAATTCATAACTAATATGACTATGGCATGCCTCGTTTTAAAAATCATTTGTATGTAGAACATGCTCTTGCATATCGAATCAACTGGGAGACATAAACCCTATGATTGTAATTGAGGTATATTACTACATAAATAAGGGAAGTTGAGTTGATGATAGAAAAGTTGAAGTCATAACTAATTATCAAAGTTTTGTTGTAAGTTTGCAGTTATTGTTTTTTTTCCATGTTAAACATCCAAATATGAAACAACGGGGCGGGACATTTTGAGAGGGGAAGGTGGGGATGAAAATCAAAAGATTAATTTATCTGGCCAAAGGAAGGATATTTTTCTCGGTAATTCTCGCTACGATAGATATAGGTCTAATCTTAAATGGAGTTCTGTGTGCCCTTGGTAACTTTGCCTTCCGTATGGTCTTTCTGGTGAAAGAAACGAAATGATTCTCAGTTATAGCTAAAAGCTGACAAAATTTTGAAAATTTCATTAACCTAATTGATAAATGCAGAAACTGTTCTTTTTTTAACATTCCCTCTTTCAAAAACACTTATTTCGATAACGAGCTAATGATCACATTAGATGTCAAAAGAGCAATAGATTAACAAAATACTTTTTGATTATTTTGCTGAAAAGCAAAATCTGCATTGATTTGAAAATCAAGGAGTAAATACACTTTGAGGTAAAAAATTATCTGGAGCTCTGAATGTAATTATGGAAATATAAGTCACATTTCCAGAGAAGGCAGTAACTTAAATACAACTTTTCAATATAAACACTAACACACCTCAATTAATTTGTTTCCACACATTGTTGCAGTTATGAGACTACAACTTTTAAAAAATAAGTACAGAGTAAAAAGGTGGCTTGAATACAAGGGGTACCAAGGAACATTAGGCCTGTGCATAGTCGATCTGCCTAGCAAGTAAACTTGTACTCATAGGTATTCAAGACACTCATTCATTACACACTTGAAAGTAATATAGAGAAAGAAATGTACATTAATGCAAGTAATTACACTTTATTCAAAATTGATAATTAGTTACTGATAATTTAGGCATGCATGCATTCATTTTCAGAATCATTCTAAACCGACTTGCCCTAGTACTTGATATATTTAACATTTCCACAATCTTCTAAATTAGGTCAAACAAAATGGAAAGAAAATACAAAACCAGATATATAAATAAATAGATAAATAAATAAATAAATAAATATATATATATTGTTGTCCCTACAAATATCTTTCTATATATTTGTTACTAATAAAAAGTCCAACTAAAGAAATGTTTATTGCATGTGTCTAACAATTTCATTGTTGACCGGCCTGCCAGTTCAACATAAGAATTGTTAGACCACAACGTCACAAGTAATTAATTGTCGTTCAATATTGGTGACACAGAAATAGCCGAAGTTTAGAGCTGCAAGAGTTGTCGTTTGTTATATGAAAGAGTATGTTTTGTGATAAATGATTTTTGTTATGTAATAATTTTATTATTAATCTGTTCATTTGCTCCAATTGTTTTATTTTTATTGATCAAGCCAAAATTTTCCAAAGAAAGTAATTGATTGTATATTGATTAAATCTGTTCAGATGTTTTCATTTTAATTATTCTATCTGAAGTGAAGGGTATAACAAAACAGAAATAGACTGGGATTCGGGCAATGTATGATCTGTTGGGCCTGAAGATGAAATGCTGCCTGCGGCCTCAGGCAGCATTTTCACCTTCAGGTCCAACAAATCATATGTTGCCCTCACACCCAGTCAATAACTGTATAATAATAGCAGCATATTATTATACAATGTAAAAAACAGGTGGTACAATCAATCTGACTGACAAACTTGTACTCTAAATATTCAAGATAGCCATTTATATTTTATATTTAATAGGGAAAAAAGAAAAAGAAAGAAATGCACATTACGAATTATTATGTACTTAACACAAAAAAGAACTTGATGAAATGAGTTACTGCTATTTTATATTCCATTTTTAGAATTATTTACTGACTTAAACCAATATTTACAAGACAAGCATTCTATGAATTTTATAACCCAGTCACTACATTATTATAACTATATCACAACATAACATTGCCAAGTCATTGTATAATGTTACCCAATAAATACAGTAAATATCCTAGTTACCGTATATCATAACCAAGTCACTATACTACATAACCCAGCCACTACATTACATAAGCCAAGTCACTGAGCAACAAAATCCGGTAACTAAAAAGCCCAGAAACTGTACATAACCCAGTCACTGCACTACATAACCCAGTTACTGTACACGATAACCCAGTCACTGTACAACATAACCCAGTCACTGCACAACATAACCAATTCACTACACTACATAACCCAGCCACTGTACAACATAACCCAGTAACTGTACAACATAACCCAGTCACTACACTACATAACCCAGTCACTGTACAACATAACCCAGTCACTACACTACATAACCCAGTCAGTACACTACATGACCCAGTCACTGTACAACATTACCCAGTCACTACACTACGTAACCCAGTCACTGTACAACATAACCCAGTCACTTTACAACATAACCCAGTCACTGTACAGCATAACCCAGTCACTGTACAACATAACCTAGTCACTACACTACATAACCCAGTCACTACACTACATGACCCAGTCACTGTACAACATAACCCAGTCACTTCACCACATAACCCAGTCACTACACTACATAACCCAATCATTGTACAACATAATCTAGTCACTGTACAACATAATCTAGTCACTGTACAACATAACCCAGTCACTGCACAACATAACCCAGTCACTTCAATACATAACCCAGTCACTACACTACATAACCCAGTCATTGTACAACATAATCTAGTCACTGTACAACATAATCTAGTCACTGTACAACATAACCCAGTCACTGCACAACATAACCCAGTCACTGCATTACATAACCCAATCAGTACACTACATAACCCAGTCACTGTACAACATTACCCAGACACTACAGTACATAACCCAGTCACTGTACAACATATCCCAGTCACTGTACAACATAACCCAGTCACTTTACAACATAACCCAGTTACTGTACAACATAACCCAGTCACTGTACAACATAACCTAGTCACTACACTACATAACCCAGTCACTACACTACATAACCCAGTCACTGTACAACATAACCCAGTCACTTCACCACATAACCCAGTCACTACACTACATAACCCAGTCATTGTACAACATAATCTAGTCACTGTACAACATAATCTAGTCACTGTACAACATAACCCAGTCACTTCACTACATAACCCAGTCACTGCACAACATAACCCAGTCACTACACTATATAACCCAGATACTACACTACATAACCCAGTCACTACACAACATAACCCAGTCACTGTACACCATAACCCAGTCACTACACTACATAAGCCAGTCACTACACAACATAACCCAGTCACTGTACAACATAACCCATACACTGTACAACATAACCCAGTCACTGCATTACATAACCCAGTCACTGCACAACATGACCCAGTCATTGTACAACATAACTAAGTCACTGAACAACATAACCCAGTAACTACACTACATAACCCAGTCACTATACACCATAACCCGGTCACTACACAGTGCAACTCAGTCACTGTTCACCATAAATCAGTCAATGTTACCATAACCCAGTCACTGTAGAACATAACCCAGTCACTGTTCATCATAATCCCGTCGCTGCACTACATAACCTAGTCACTGTAAAACATAACCCAGTCACTGTACAACATAACCCAGTCACTGAACAACATAACCCAGTCACTACACTACATAACCCAGTCATTGTACAACATAATCTAGTCACTGTACAACATAATCTAGTCACTGTACAACATAACCCAGTCACTGCACAACATAACCCAGTCACTGAACAACATAACCCAGTCACAGAACAAAATAACCCAGTCACCGTACAACATATCCCAGATATAAGATAAACAATAAAATGTCTTTCTTAGTTATAAGTACAGGAATTAACGTTGCAGCGCCATTGCAGTTTAAATAAACATAACCCACTTATGCGGGTTATGTATTTTTTCTGTACAAGCTGCACCATTTATCACCATACTAACTAACAAAGAATAAATTATTGTTTTATTGTATGGCATAATTAATTTTTAGAATGTACACATAAAACTCTGATTTAATATATTGTACAGTCTCTTATAGATGGAGATCCTTTACTGAACACTCTGTTGATGAACATCTTGCATCAGCCTCTTCATAAGGCAATCCTGTTTTTGTGCAAATAAGATAAACGATTGCTTCCTTTAGTAAAATGAGTGAGAAATAGTGAACTGCCATTCTGAAAAAAGAAAATTCTTTTTAAAATAATAGATGTTTACAGCTATTCTAACTAGAAGAGGAAGTACACTCATAAATTGATAAACTGCATAAAAAACATATATTTGGTGTGCTTAAAAAAATAAAAAATACTAAGCATACATACAGTGGACTATTTATTAAGATACTTTCCAATTCTTCATTTTTAAGATTTTGGAAGGTTCTGTATCGAGTGAAAATTGATCTGGAAATATATTTATAATTTTATGTAAACATGGTAAAAATGTAACTGAAAAGAACTGGAAATAAGATCATAAATGACAAAGAAATACCAATTGAATACAGTTCTAATTTCTAATGCATTCATGGCTTCAAAAGAAAATATATACATTTGTGGTATCTCTCTATTATATAAACATGCAGAGAGCAAATATCTTCATACCTGTATGAAGTTTTTTGAAGGTCATAGGTCATTACGCGACCTAATCACAAAGCGCAGTAATATCTACATAAAAAGACTTACTCCACTAAGCAATATAGCATGTTTTTCATGCATAAAAATGTACAAAATACGCAAGTAAAATAATAATCATTTTATTTACAATGTAAACGAGTATTTAATACAGTTCTTGATTGATTTTACATAGAGAATAGGCAACTACGTGTTATAAGTTTCATGTCTGAGCTGCATAGTCTCAATGCGACGTTTACCCTTATTTTTCTCGCAGACCTCTGAATGCAATAATTTTTTTTCATTAAACTTTACTCACAATAAATTTGAAAATCTGTTGAAAAATATCAATGCAATCACGCCACAAACAGCTGACAAACACTGCACTTTGGAAGTTCGGTAGGCACACCTCCATCATCGAGATTGTTGTGACGTTGTCTTAACAATGTAAGCTGTCGCCAGTGTCTCCATGTCAACATCATAAATTAATGAATATGCCTTACTGAAATCGTAGATTTTATGTTTTTGATCAAATTTTGTACTTGATTTCAAGTTATCTGGTCCGGACAAGTGTCTCCATCCATCCCTTTCCGACCGAAATTCCTCCAACTTTTTATTATCAAACATCGGACGTGTTTCTTGTGTTTTTTTAACATCGAATATGGGATCTCATGAATACAAAAATTCCAAGACACCTATATGCTCACTATAATTGATCACAAGTAGCCTTTCACAGAATATTCCCTTCAAAACAGAATCCTTTGCCAGATGAATTTGAAGCGTAACCGCTTCTCAAGCCGATTTACACCTAGCGTAATTTGTCAAAATCTACGACGTACAGTTAGTGCAATATTTATATTCGATTACATTCGATTGTCCGTCTCAAATGTATATATAAGTAATAAATAACAAGTTTAAAAACTTCAATGGGAATTGAAGTGGGTCGGTACGTGATCAAATCTTCTGAGAAGGCCTTCGGCCTTCACAGGATTTGATCACGTGACCGACCCACTTCAATTCCCATTGAAGTTTTTAAACTTGTTATTTATTTCTTAAATAAATATCTGTAAATTCATACCCATGCAAAGGTTTGCTGCAAAACATTTCATTTTGGAGAACTGTTTGTAGATGCTCCATTTCCTGTTAAAAGAAAGTCATCATATTGCCCATTGAGATGTAAATGAAATATATTTTTGAACTGCACATATCTTAAGTTACAATCAAAAGCTTTCATAATTATTTCATTGTAATTTTGGATATGATAACATTTAAATGCAAATAGATACACTATTAATTCAAATATAATTCTTCTTTTAATTCTTACCTGAGAACTTAAAAATTTTCTTCCAAAGAAGTACTGTTTAATGTATTTCTCATACATATCTGCCGGACTCTTTACAAACATATGATGGCGGACATGATCAGCTTCACCACTGAAAAATTTAAGTGGAAAGGGAGTTGTATATGTACCTAAGGCTTTATCTAAATACTTCTTATGATAGAAAAGTGTATACAATTTCATCAAATTAATATCATATTTGTATGGAAACATCAACAAAACAAATTACCATTCACTAATTTTGCAGTTCATTATTTTTGTCAGAGCACCTACTACACTGTTCATCTGCAAAAAGAATATCAATAATATGTATTGTAGGAAACTATTTAATTATGTTGATTAAACATGAATAATGTATCAAACTTTCTTATACTCACATGACTGTTAATATAATCTGTATCTATTACTGAAAATAAAGAGCTTTTTATTAAAATTTTCAGCAAATAACATAGCAATATATTTGTCTGAACATAGTAAAGTACATATGAACTACCCACCAGAAGAGTGTGTCATGACACCAGCCTCTTGTACCTCCTCTTCCTCATTTTCAGTGTCCTCTTTTTCCCTGCATATTTATTACATCAAGTTTGTTAACAGTAATTCTTTTACCATGCAAATGAAGTCTTTAATAATATCAATATATTGCAAATAAGTTTTTTTGAGCAAATGTTCTTTTCATTTATCTGCAAAACAATCTATAAGTTGTTTTGCCAAAGCTTAGCATTTCTGTATTTGAAATATCAATGGCTTAAATAAATAGTATACAGACTCAGCTACATGCACTCACATATTTTCACTCTGTATCTGGTTCTTTGTTTCACAAGTAAGTCTACATTAGCATAAAATGATATAAGTTTAGATTATTAATTCCAAGTAGCAAAAATTCACAATTTTCCATACCCCATAGATAGAGTTTAATAATTATCATTAGAAAGATTGTTGTCCTTTAAACGTATAAACTAAAAAAAAATGATTGAATATATTTACACTTACTTGCAATCATCCGTACTTAAATACGTTTCTTTGACAGATAGATATCTAAAGAAAAAAAATTAAAAATCATTTCCATACTTTTCGTCGGGAAATTTACAACAGAATTGTAAATATTCAGAAATTGATTGGTTTTATTATCCTTCCTATAATTCCATTACTAGGTGATCATATTGTTCTAAAATAATAATCATACTAGATTGATAAAGACATATCAAGATGCTTTAATGAAAATCACAAGAAAACAAGTAAATCATTTAAAATTGAGTTAAATAACAACTATAATGTAATGCATAATTCAATGCAAGTTTTAGTAAACTTGCTGAAAGGGTGTACTAAAGATTAGAAGGCTAATACTGTTGGATGTAAATAATAGATTAGCAGGTTCATAATGTTCATTTTAACAAATTCTTTACTTGATTTTTAGGTCACCTGACCCAAAAAGCACAAGTGAGCTTTTTCAAATCAATATTTGTCCATTGTCTATCTTGTTGTAAATTTTTCACATATCCACTTCGCAAAAACAACTGGGCCAATCTCAGCTAAATTTGACATAAAGCATACAAGGATGAACACAGTTCACTTTTGTTCAAAAAAAGGACCATGTGCCATCTCTTTTTTCAAGGGGAGATAATAAAGAATTAGTGAAAAATGGAAATCTTTCAAAATTATTCATTGAACAACCACTGAGTCTGAAAAGATGAAATTTACATTTATGAAAGCTTCTTTACATAGTGTAGATTTAAGTTTGTTCAAACCATGACCACCAGTGGTGGGGTGGAGCCACAATAGGTGTTCACAGCAACCTCATAGTGTAAATTCAACTTTGTGACCAAGGTAAGTCTTGTGACCCATGGGCCTATTGTTTGAAGATTGTTCATGCAGGTCATAATTTTCTAAGCTGAATGTATAAATCAACATGACATTAACTTGCAATATAAATATATACAGCTAATCTACTGAATGCATGTGATAAAAAAAATCTGAGAAATGTTGTAAAATATGTAAACTTTAACTTCTTTTGGTTGACTTTACTTGTGAAACATTTTTATTCCCAAGTCATGTGACATCACTGTAATGACATCAATCAGGAAAAACTGAAAAAAAATTCACCCAAGGAACAAATAAATTGTTCAGGGTACACATGCATACTTTTTCCCAGATTTCCTTATGATTCTGAACAGTCATGCAGATTTCCAGCAAAGAAAACTAATGTATTTATGTATCTCATATACAATTTGTGTCTGTCTCATAAATCAATGACAGTACAAAACACATTAATTAGTCATTACTCCTAACAAATTTCATTGTTTGTTTTGGTGGTTAAAATATGTCATTTAGAACTATGAGATTCATAATCATATATCAACAACAACAGAAAACTATGCAGGAAAAAAAATGCAACATCATGCTCTTTTAAAGGGAATCTCTACCTTCCCCTAATATCAGGATACAAAAAAGAACTTCTTTTTTTCTTCTGAAATAAAGTTTAATAACTATTCATATATTCAAAAGACATATTTTCCTCTTGAATATCAGCATAAAGAGAAAACAAAGTTATGGTCATTTTCATCTGAAAAACAAGTGAACATATAAGTATGTTGTGTATCTGATTATAACATACTTGTTTGTATGTGCATATGTTTTTGCAAACAAAGATTCAAGATTTATAAAAACCCAAACTTCAAAAATACCTTTATTGGATGTTTTCTTAAGTCATATGAAGGGGTGAAGGAATCCTTGAAAAACAAAAATATTTACATTATTAATTATGCATCATTTATGTCATAATGAAATTTTGTAGAGTTGAGCAAGCATGCATATTATGAAACACTGAAAGTAATAGTGATTCTTTGAATAAATTTAAATCCTTTATTATTGTTATTTTATAAATGAAATTGAACTTGTTTAAAGCTGTTTTACCTTGGCAATTTCTTTGTTAACTGATTCCAAGTCAGCTTCACACTTTCCCTTCAACACAAATTGATACAGAATTAGAGACCAAATGAGAGAGAGAGAGAGAGAGAGAGAGAGAGAGAGAGAGAGAGAGAGAAAGGATGGGGAGCATTTAATGCTGGAGTACAAAGTGAAAGTATGTCTTTTGAATTGATTCAATTTTTTTTACCCAGAAATTTATTCGTCACATTCTGCATTTAAAGTCTGTCAAATCTTCAAGATCTATAATGTCTTCTTCAATGCAGAAAGGCTTAAAATGGTAGGTTCTTTTGCACATGCAGCATTCAATCTATGGTAGATTTAAAAAAGAGATGTACAATTCTTTCAGAGTTAATAAACAAGATTGAAAAACAATGAAATGATCAAGAAACAATCTAGAAATATTTTGCTGTCAGATCATTTAGTGTGGTTCAATCATTTAGAATTAAACAAGACAAATCTTGTTTATATGTGTTAATGTCAAACATTAATTTGAGTTGAGTTGGTGGTAAACATCCTTTCTCATTTTGTAGGAAAACATTAATATGCATGGTGTGCTATGGTTCTAAGACCTACCTTTTCCTCATTTTCAATTTTTTAGCACATTTTGGGCAGCATCCCGTCAAATAGACTACAATGAAAAAAGAAGGTACAGTTCTGTAATATTCAAATTTCTGTTAAACTAGGCCTGTCCTGATTTCTTTTCTATTATTATAACTGGAAGTCTAAAAATGAATACAAAATACCTACCTTTATAAAGCATCAACTCTAAAGCTACTTTTCTCCTCATGATTTGCAGATCTTTTTTAGTTATACTTTGTAGATCATGTAAGTGTCCATTTAAATGCTTCTCTGCAAACTAAAAAAAAATTTCAAAAAGTAAACATGAACTACTATTATAGAAAAAAAAATGAACAAATACCCAGAACAGCTAGTATCAATCATAATGGAAAGATATATTAATGATATAATGAAGTATTGGCATCATGAGATTTTTTTGTGGAAAACATGATGTCCTATTTCATGGACAAATATTGAAGCTAGTTAAATTATTAAGATGGTATCTATTGATATAGAAAAAAAAAATGACAATACCACAAGGCAATATATTCCACAGTTGAATGAATCCCTCTGAAGAGCATGTGGACTTGAACATATCTTCCAATCTGGTGACTTGTTGCTTATTTGGTACTTGTGCCGATATTCATGGTCATATTTTCTTTAACAATTAAGAAAAATATATTAATGACTTGTGAGAAAACTTGAAAGCACTACCAGATATATCATATATGGGCTCAACTCAAGTTCAACATAAGCTTATTTTTAGTGGATACCTCCAACTCCTTTCAATTTTTTTCATCTCATAGCTCTTCTCTCCACATGGATTATAGAAAAAAAATCTTGCCTTCTCTTACTTCAACAATCTAAAAGAAAGATGGTACATATGTAATAACAGTGTGGTTTACAAACTCCTTTTTACAAAACAGAGTGTGAACAAAAAATCTCACCACTAAAGTCCAATGATATGACCTGTGATACACTCCCACAATAACATCAGCCTCTAAATCTATACCCTGTAAATGTGAATACATTTTTATGCAGACTGGTATCAAAATAGTGACCTTTGTCTTATTTTGTTAAGACATATAATCATGTGTTTGTAAATTAACTTTATTTGATATAATTTATCAATATAGTCTTTTCACTTACAGAGTTTTGGGATACATCTGGTAATAGGAAATCTGAATTTATGATCCCTGTCATTTTGGTTTGGTCATAATGTACAACATTTCTTCCTAATTCACTTTGTTGTGTGACCAGCAATAACAAATAACAGTCAATGACCTGGTATGAAATAGATGTAGGCATTAAGTCGGGGAACAACAAATGAATTAAAGAATATTGCTATGGGCAGTCATGCTTATATGGGTTAGCTTTGCCCTGATTTTCCTTGCAAGGCCCTGTTTTGTGTGAAGAGGTCAAGACATATGAACTTGAATTCACTCATCGTTTAGATGATTCTTTATGAATATGGCTATATAATTTATCGGAACTGGCATTCAATTGAGTTCTTTTTTCATTAATCTTTATTATACATACCCTGTCAGTGAGACATTCATTGCTTTTTAATGAACGAATGTCTGTGTCCATGATTACTTTTATTACCAAATACATTAGCCACTGGAAAATTGAAATCCTTTTCTAATGGCCATAAATTCTCTACCAAATCATAGCCTGGAGAGTACAATTAGACAATATAAATATAAAATTAACAATGACAAATACATTTCATGTGTAAAAAATTTCAAACAATTACCAACCATTATTATTCACAAGGAATTTTGTATTCTTTCCCGATACTTCCAAGTTTTGATCTGACCCATTCTTTGTGAACAGCACATCAGAATCTGCTGAAATTCAATAGAACATTTTAAGTACTGGTATAATATACTACTAGTAATACAATGATTTGGAAGTGAAAACTCAGTTTTAATATGATATGCAGATATAACCTAAAATTCTCAAACCATTTTCCATTGCTTTCCATTTCTTCAGATTTTTATCATTTCCAATTTCTCCATCGTCCGATTTCCTCTTGGGCATTCTCCCCTAATTTTTAAGAAACATTAAACATGAATTTCAGTAAATATGAGGATTTGCAAAGGTAAAATGAATGTTTAGACACATACCGTGATTTTCATGGAACACATTCTGCAAGTGATTGATTCCAATGACATGTATCCAGACCCTACACAAGCTTCAGTCCTGTGAAATTTTCTTAAGCACAATTCACATGTAATCTGCAATATTATTTATTTTTTTATTTTTTTGTTTAAAATCGATTTAAAAAGTATTGTAATGAAGCTATTTTCTTTCTTTTGTCCTCTTTCTTTATAATGAAAGATAAAACTATATATTTTTTTTCCATTGATATTGTTTTTTGGTTAGACTTACCCATATCGAAAATGAATACAAAAATAATACAAGAAAAAAATACTAAAATAATACAAAAAAAGTATATTTTTAATGACCAAATTTGGAACCCTCTAAATCTTGTTCCAATTTAGGTAAAAAATAATAGACTTTTTAAAAGCCAAACACAGAAAAATATATTTTTAATATACTTTATTTTTTCGAAATAATACAGAAATGATACACGACCTGTAAAAACGTATTGTTTTTGTACTTTTGTATTATTTCTCTATTTTCCTCTCCAAAGTATAAAAATAATACAGTCCATAGAAAAGTATAGGAAAAATACAGAATGTATTAATTTTGTATTAGCATATATTATTTTTGCATTTTTTCACCTTTAAGAATTAAAATACAAAAAAAAATATAGAATGTATTAATTTTGTATTAGCATATATTATTTTTGTATTTTTTCATCTGGAACAATTAAAAGTACAAAAAAGATATAAAATATGAAAATAATACAGTACACAAAAAAGTATGAAAAAAATATAGAATGTATTAATTTTGTATTAATATGTATTGTTTTTGTATTTTTATCAGCATGAAGGATTGTATTTCAAAAATATCAAAAAAGTACAAGAATGATAGACAAAAAATACATTTAAATGCTTAAAATAATACAAAACAGAGTTTTAAAAACTACAAAAATGATCATGGGCAAAAATTGTTATTTAAAGAAAAGGGGTTGGAGATTGAGGTTCTTAATAGCATCTATTGATTGTTATTCAAAAATCTTTTATTTATTTGAAATATTTGTTAAATAACAATTTTAGTAACTCAGTCAGATTACCTTAAATGTACAAATAGCTAATTAAAAAGTAATTAATGTGGCCAGGCTACTGTTCAGCTACCAATGCTAGTCTTGATCTTTCTTTTTACATATAATCTGCTCTTCAATAGTCTTGATATTTTTCACAAGTTTAACTAATCCTGTTTTCTTTGTACTTTTACCAACTGTTTCGATCTCTCTGCTTTGCTGTTTCTTTTGTATGGAAAAGGTAGAGGAGTGTTTACTTTGTTGCAGAAGTCCATCTACAAATCACACAACCTGTCATCTCATCTGACTTAATCACTGTGAAATATAGAACAGAATGATATAATAATAAAATTTAATGAACCATTACCTCAACAAAACACACATTTTCACATCCAAAATAATTCTATATAGATTTTGTTTAGCTCACACACCTGCAATACTTTCTTGAGAGGGATCTTCTTCCTCCATGACTAATCAGCTTTTCTTCAATGTTCTGCTGACTGAAATTAACAATAATTATAAATTGAAATTCCAAAAGATCCAGCGGAGTTCACCAAATTCCATACAATTGTACCATTGAAATTACCTTTCTTTAATCTAGGGTTTCTTAGGGAACAACCATTTGATTTGACAATCTGGAGAAGAAAAAGGGGGGGGGGGGCTGATTTATAAAATATTTTTAAAAAAATATTTGTAATAAACAATCTGTCCTTGAAAATGTTGAAAGAGTAAACAAAATATGTGCCCCAATGTTATTTAAATAAACTGCCCCCCCCCCCCCCAAACCCAACCTACCCCCCCCCCCCTCGAAAAAATTTGAGTTTATACAAATTACAGAGTTGTTTTTGAAGGGAAAATAAATAATTCGTCTCTGGTAAACTTGAAAAAATTGGAATGAATTAGAACTAGGAAGCCAAAGGCTTGAAAATTACCCCCATTTTCCACCCCTTCCTCCCCAATGAGAATTTATCACAAAAACCCTTGTTCCCCACATGGCCAATAACCGTACTATTTTATCTTTCTACAATACTACAAAATGGGTAAGAAAGGCATTCTTTGTTCCTCTATCTTTGTACTAAGTTATTATTTAAAAAACTGAAACTTTAATGTGCTAAAATATACATAATCTTACCGCAACTGTCGTTGTTTACACCAGAAAAGTCCGGATATGATGCCTAAAAAACGTCAGTCTTCTTATGTATTTGCTTTCCTTGGTTCATATATATGATCCTGTGTACCATGATTATGCTGAACTTCTGTTTTTCGATCCATTTTACTCGCGAGCAAATGAGAGTTTATTCAAAATCACCTCCAGCTTTCTCAACACGTCCCGGGAAGAATTTTCAAAATGGCGTGGGTGAAATATTGTTGACCAATCAGAGAACAGTACGGAAGAGTTTTAAAATCTGACCAATCATATTGTGTCATATATACGAAAATTACCGATGTTGAGATCGGAACAGTTAGAGAAAACATATTTACATGGTTTTAAATATCTTGAATCAATTGAACAAACCTAAAATTATGTTAGAAAAAAACGATGTTCAATTTAATCATCAGAATCATTTTTTTATTCCTTACGGAATTTACCGATTACGAAACATCGTTATTTCCGGTCATCATTTCCGCTGAGAGCAGCCATTTTTATATTCAAGTTGACCTGTGAAGTAGACCATAAAGTTCAAATATAATGATCAAAACGAGCGGGAGATACATAATATATATTGACGGACAACTTAACTCATACATACGGTACCAGAGATTGAAATAATGTTTAACAACTATCCTTTACACCAATTTCACAACATTTTCTATATTATTTTATGATATTCTTTCGTAATAATTTCTTATTTAATTTTTTTTTTTTAAGCGGATGATTAAATAGTTCTATTTCATGTAATTGTAATACGTACTGAATTAAATATAATGTATACTAAATTGAGTTGTATAGTCAAGAAAACATCGTAGGTACTGTAATTAGTGGAACTCTCCATGTTGTTTGTTTTTGTTTTTGTTTTGGTTGGGATGTGTTTTCACGGGTAAATCATGTTATTTCTTTGAGTAGTATAACATGTACTCCTCTATTGTTAGCCTTCAGGTGGCCACCTGTGCTGTTGGCGATAGTTGTAAACACTCGGTTGTAAACACGCTGTAAAATTTTCAACACAAAGAAAGTCTGAAACTCTGAAACTTCAAAATTTACCGCGTGTTTACAACTATCATGTACAGCACAGGTGTTCCCTTAGACGTATCTATCTCTTTCCAAATGACAATTTCACACCTAGTAAAGACATGTTTTAAAAATGAAATTGTTTAGTTAACAAATTTAAACTACTGAAATTTTCTGTTCTAAATAGCAATTAAATGTAAATAGTATAAAAGCAACCTTTATAGCAATGGTCTTAATTAATAAAATCTGAGAAAAAATATTAATTCCAACAGACTTATTGCAAGGACATTCTGTAAATTTTCCTAAGTTCAAAGAAATACAAATTTCAGTAAAAGAGAACACTAAGTCCAAAATAAATATAAAAAAATACATACTGAATGTATAGTATTTTTTGAAAAATTATTAAGTCCAAATTTAATACAAAAATAATACAGACTAACTGTATGTAATTTTCTGTAAAACTACTAAGTTCAATTTTAATACAAAAATAATACAGATTAACTGTATGTAATTTTCTGTAAAATTACTAAGTTCAATTTTAATACAGAAAAAATACACTTGAAAAAAACTAAGTCCACAAAAATACAAAAATGATATACTGAAAATAATCTAAGTCCCAAAAAATACAAAAATAATACCCTGTAAAAAACCAAAGTCAGATTTTAATACAAAAATAATCTACCTATTTGTTGGTGATACAAAAATAATATATTTTTTCTGTATTAATTTTAAACAATACGAAAATGATTGTATTAAAAATATATTAAAAATATACTTTTATGTATTATTTTTTGATATGGGTAGCTTACTGTTTCTTCTGCATATGTCAAAAATCCACAACAAGGACAGCGGTCTGTGCTGTTAACTGCATGAGTTACAAAAAAAAAAAAATAAATAAATAGATTAAGATATATGCTAGCACAAAAATGAATTGGTCATTTTAATTTCTCATCGAAATTATAAAAATTTACATTAGGCAAGTAAAGTACAGAAGTCAACAGACATATATATGTCCAATTATTAAAATGTAAGATATTTTTGCTTACCAATGCTCATCAAAGTTATAGTCTAAGAATGGTTCACAAATATATTTTTGTTAGTACTGTTTAGTGCTTTTTGTTTACCATTGTACATCATTAGAGAACTTGCTATTTTTTCTCTTGCTCTCTTTAGGTCTGCATTTGAAACATTGTCAATGGGTTGCTGGTTGAAATACTGTTCAGCAAACTAAAGAAATTTTAGAAAGAAATTACTTTAAATGTGATAATTTTTTGTGTGTAATACTTAGCATAAATTGCACATTATTACACACAATTATAACATATTCCATAATTTACTATATGATGAGATGAAAAATATTTGAAGAACTGTACTAATGATAAGAATTACATTACTCACTATCAAACAATACATGCCACGATTGAAACTGTCTGTCTGTTTAGAGTGTTCTCTTGTGAGAACAGCCCAATTCCTTGTCTCCACTTCATTGTATGTAAGCATCCTCTCACTGGTGTACAAACTAAAAATGGAAATTATACACAATTTAATCAATCTATAAATACCAGAATGAAAAACTAACCACAATCCATGTAATGCTTTACTGTGTTAATTAAAAGAGGGATTGAATTTTAGATATAGAGCCATAAAGTTGTTTCATTGACAGCATCTTAATTAATTACCACCAGTTTCTCTTTATTTCTTCAAGTTGTATTCTGGTCTCTTTCAGGGGATTAAAGTAATGTATGACACCCTTCAAAGGATCAACAATCTGAAAAAAATGAGGTTTTGTCTCACTTATTTTTAATGTGTAAATTTTGATCCATTAAAATAGACTGAATTTCAACAATGCAGATCCTTTTATTCTGATCAGCAGAATCAATTGATGATTGCTGCAGACAGAGTGAACATGTAATACTAATTACCTAATATGCATGAGCTGTGAGTACATGTGTCTTTCCATTTTCAGTAATTTTACTAGCTTCCATGTGGTTAATAATTTTTTGTACCAACCTCATTAAAACTAAAAATTGTGTATTTACCACAAGAGTCCAATGACGATTTTTATAGATAGCTCCAATTATTGCAGAGCACTCATATAACTTCAACTGAAAAACAAAATAGTCAGTACATGTATATAGCATAAAGAGACATTATTTAAACCATCTTTCATTAAACTTGATTTCTGAGTAATTATTACTAGTATACCTTCCTGCGACTCTTTCTGACTGAAAAAGTTCCTTCCATTATCTGAGTCATAGTTTATGATGGATATAGAGCAACCTTGTTGCCTTTCTCAATTTCTTTTTGAACAATGGCAGCTAAATATGCAATAATAAATATCAATAACCTGCAAATATGTTAGAAATTAATGTACATGTTAAAACTGAATGTATATGTAGAAAAAAAATGAAGGAAAGTGTTAACTATTAAATAATTTATAAAGCTAAGATGTGATTACCTGATCAGTCACCCAGTTTGTACCATTAAGGGACCTTATGTCCTCATCTGTGATGTTGAACTTGCTTACTCTTCCAATAAAAAACCCTGTGCTTTTTTCCATACTCCAAATTTTGTTCACTTCCTCGAAAGCTGTAAAGATAAGTTTTTAAAAAACAGCTTCCTAATGAAATGATATATATATTTTCAGCATTACTTAATTTTTGGGACTGGTTAAAAGCACCTACCTTCCTTATAATCCATTTCTTCATATTTTGTAACTGTTTGAGGCATGGTACCAGTATCTGGAAAATGTACCTTCTTCACCTGCTTTATACATTCGTGTGTTTTCTTTAATATACCCTTCCTTCCTAAAGTATATATATATATATATATATATATATATATATATATATATATATATATATATATATATATATATATATATATATATATATATAACAATATATCATTGGTTAGCCAGACACATATTTAACCCTTTTCCTGGACAGAGGTTTAACTTATTTTATATTGGACCTTTAAAAGTTTATTCAAGTTGAAAATTTTACCATTTGTTTCTAAATGTTGATGTTGATAATCTTCAATGGTAATGATCTCTGCCACCTCATTGCTTTCTTTAATAAGAAAATAACCATTAATTATTTTTTTCCTACAATATATTCTTACATGGATTTGTTCAAAAAAAGGTCATCATTTAACTAACCATTAACATGTGTTAATAGGTCATGTACACCCTTGGATGTATGCTTTCGCATACTCTCAGCAGATGAACCATGCCTCCCAACTCCTTTGTTTCTTCTCTTTGAAAGGGAAAGCCTATTTACTCGTTTTGGTGCTGTTGTTGCGATGTGGGTCATTTGTTTCTTTGGATGATCTACAAGGAGTATGTTAGTTTCATGGAGACTAGTTGTAAAACTATCTAATGTATCCTGCAATTTGGAATTGAGGGTTTGCAAAATTTCTTCATCTTTACAAGAGTAAGAATAGTCCCTAATCATCTGACAGTAGCTGTTGATGCTGGATCTAATTTAAGAAATTCTAGATTTTGATGATAAAACAATTTCTTGTATGTTGCTGTCTGTATTGGTCTCCCTTCTTGACTCTTGTTCTTTGCAATCGGTGTGAGTGTCAGTAGATGTTGAACTGAACTCGCAAAGAACACTCTCATCTAATGTCAGGAAGGGATTGTTCCTGCACTCTACAGGTAGTTTTTCCCAATGCCAACCAGAAACATTTCTAATGACTGCAAAAAAGTGTTTACAAGGCAAATGATGTTTGGTCCAGTCCTCACAGTCACAGGATGATACTGGAAAGTCAGGTGCTGAAAAATGGACACAATAAACTTGTGAGCTCTCAGGAACCTGACTCTTTACCAGAAACTGGTCTTCTCCTATGGGATCTATTTCATCTAATAAAATGTTTCCTGCTTCTTCCCATCTTTTAAAGCAGTGCTTTACAACATTTCTTGGGCGATTAATTAAAAAAATGGGAATATCAGGATAGTACTGCATTGATTCCTCTGCAGATAGCAAATTCAGTTTCACATATCTAAAATTCCAAAATACGGTAAATGATTTTCTTTTTCTATATACAGATTCATTTTTTTTAAAACTATTGCTGTTTTCTCTCATAACTGAACTAAATCATTGATTAAAAAATAAAAATAAAAAATATAGAATTGAATACATTCTTAGGTTGTTTCAAATATTAATATAAACTAGAAATTTCAGTAATATCTTGTAATAAAAGAAAATTGAAGTGGTGAAACAGAAGGATTGGTATACATAATTAATTAAATGAATAAGAGAACTTTAAATTTATGGAAACATTAAATACATGCATATGAACTACCTGGTATATATGGCCATCTTCATTTCGGACTTACCAAATAATTTTCCAAACTGCTTTCCACTTTTCAAACACCAAAATCTAGATGATGTTGCTTACTCATACTCTTCTAACAAATCAGTTAACTTCAAAGATGATGTTACATATCCACAATGAGAGGAAAACTTTTCATCAAAAAGATACTCCCATGGGTATGTGGAGCTATCACTGCCAGTGAATAAATGTAAAGGTATCTCGTACATTAGCCATGCATCACAGTTAAGTTACAAGGTTATTGTTAAGTGACCCAGTTATGAGGTGAAATGACTGAATTATTTTTGTATAAAATCTGAGTATGATATGCTTCAGAATAACAGTGACACTATGATGTTAGGATGTGAATGGGTGATAATCTATGGTTACTATAGTACAGTGACTGAGATTTGTAGTGTAGTGACTGGGATATGTAGTGTAGTGACTGGGTTTACATGGTACAGTGACTGGGTTATGTTGTACAATGACTAGGTTATGTAGTGTAGTGACTGGGCTATGTAGTGTAGTGACAGGGTTATGTTGTACAGTGACTGGGTTGTGTAGTGTAGTGACTGGGTTGTGTAGTGTAGTGACTGGGTTATGTCGTGTAGTGACTGGGTTATGTTGTGTAGTGACTGGGTTATGTAGTGTAGTGACTAGGTTATGTTGTGTAGTGACTGGGTTATGTAGTGTAGTGACTGGATTATGTTGTGTAGTGACTAGGTTATGTAGTGTAGTGACTGGGTTATGTAGTGTAGTGACTGGGTTATGTAGTGTAGTGACTGGGTTGTGTTGTGTAGTGTCTAGGTTATGTAGTGTAGTGACTAGGTTATGTTGTGTAGTGACTGGGTTATGTAGTGTAGTGACTGGATTATGTTGTGTAGTGACAGGGTTATGTTGTGTAGTGACTGGGTTATGTAGTGTAGTGACTGGGTTATGTAGTGTAGTGACTGGGTTATGTTGTACAGTGACTGGGTTATGTAGTGTAGTGACTGGGTAATGTTGTACAGTGACTGGGTTATGTAGTGTAGTGACTGGGTTATGTTGTGTAGTGACTGGATTATGTAGTGCAGTGACTGGGTTATGTTGTGTAGTGACTGGGTTATGTTGTACAGTGACTGGGTTATGCTGTACAGTGACTGGGTTATGTAGTGTAGTGACTGGGTTATGTAGTGTAGTGACTGGGTTATGTTGTACAGTGAATGGGTAATGTAGTGTAGTGACTGGGTTATGTTGTACAGTGACTGGGTTATGTTGTGTAGTGACTGGGTTATGTAGTGTAGTGACTGGGTTATGTTGTACAGTGACTGGGTTATGTTGTGTAGTGACTGGGTTATGTAGTGTAGTGACTGGGTTATGTTGTACAGTGACTGGGTTATGTAGTGTAGTGACTGGGTTATGTTGTACAGTGACTGGGTTATGTAGTGTAGTGACTTAGTTGACTGGGTTATGTGGTGCAATGACTGGGTTATGTTGTACAGTGAATGGGTAATGTAGTGCAGTGACTGGATTATGTTGTACAGTGACTGGGTTATGTAGTGACTTGGTTATGTAGTGTAGTGACTGGGTTATGTTGTACAGTGACTGGGTTATGTTGTGTAGTGACTGGGTTATGTAGTGTAGTGACTGGGTTATGTTGTACAGTGACTGGGTTATGTAGTGTAGTGACTGGGTTATGTTGTGTAGTGACTGGGTTATGTAGTGTAGTGACTGGGTTATGTTGTACAGTGACTGGGTTATGTAGTGTAGTGACTGGGTTATGTTGTACAGTGACTGGGTTATGTAGTGTAGTGACTTAGTTGACTGGGTTATGTGGTGCAATGACTGGGTTATGTTGTACAGTGAATGGGTAATGTAGTGCAGTGACTGGATTATGTTGTACAGTGACTGGGTTATGTTGTGTAGTGACTGGGTTATGTAATGTAGTGACTGGGTTATGTTGTACAGTGACTGGGTTATGTAGTGTAGTGACTGGGTTATGTTGTACAGTGACTGGGTTATGTAGTGTAGTGACTTAGTTGACTGGGTTATGTGGTGCAATGACTGGGTTATGTTGTACAGTGAATGGGTAATGTAGTGCAGTGACTGGATTATGTTGTACAGTGACTGGGTTATGTAGTGACTTGGTTATGTAGTGTAGTGACTGGGTTATGTAGTGTAGTGACTAGGTTATGTTGTACAGTGACTGGGTTATGTTGTACAGTGACTGGGTTATGTTGTACAGTGACTGGGTTATGTTGTTCAGTGACTGGGTTATGTAGTACATTGACTGGGTTATGTAGTACAGTGACTTGGTTATGTTGTTCAGTGACTGGGTTTTGTTGTACAGTGACCAAGTTATGTTGTACAGTGACTGGGTTATGTTCTGTTCTGACCCGGCTATGTTGTGTAGTGACTGGATCTTGATTTGCTGTGATTGGAATACATATGAGCATGATCTGTAGAGAGGGTTTCTAGTATGTTGTGCATTGACTTACTTTCCATGTACAATTGTTAGGTTATGTTTTACAGTGATTCTTTCAATGATATGCTTTGCAATCACTAATTTTTTTCATACAGACTTGATTATTGTTAATGGATGCTCTGTAGTAGTCCTATGTTTTTTTATGTCGAGTCACCACTGATCAACAGCCCTGAACTGCAACTTTGTCAAAAGCTATATGATTTTATGATTATTGGAGAGAAAGACACAATCAGGATGGGTTTAAACAATCGTGTACCTGACTTTTTGCTGGAATAATTTTAAATCATACTGCTTTTGTCAAAGCAGCAATATTCACGGGGTGTTGTCTGTTCGATCAGCCAGGAATCAAGTTATGTGGTGATCTCGTAAAGAGGAGAAAATGCATGCATAAATGAAATAATAAATTGTATCCATACCTTATTTCTTCATCCATGTAGAAACATTACTCCATTCGATTCCTTTTCTTCTCATCGGACTGCGCTATGTTTAATTTTCCCGCTGATAT